TGGCATCTCACAAGAGCCACAATCCTCTTGATGCCACACAAACAAATAAAGCTAAAGTGGCAAACTAGATATGCATATTTTTAAAATGCAAATAGGAAATATTCAGAAGAGGAGAGAAACAAGAAATATAATACAGATAGTCCTTGATTTATGGCCACCATCAGGAGCAGAAATTCAGTCACTAAGCAATGTGGTTGTTCAGTGGTTGTTAGGTGACACCTCACGTGACCAGACCCAATTTTATGGCTGTTTTCCTAAATTTCATTTATGGTGACCATTTTCACGATGAAGTGAATCGCTGGGATCATTAAGCAAATCCGGCTTTGTAGTTGACTTTTTAATCCAGCCTGAGAAGGTTTTATTCACTTTGAAGTTCATGATTATTTTTATTCTAAATCTGTTAATTGTTAATACTGTAGTTTCAATGCTTTTATTTAAAATTCTAATAACTAAAAAAGGTCACAGTCCAATAGGAGACAGTTCAATACTTTGCACTAATCTATTTATATACCACCAACATCTCTTAAACCAGGAGTCCCCAACCCCCAGTCCGTGGACTGGCACTGGGCCACGGCATGGCAGAAACCGAGCCGTGCAAGCAAGCAGGATGCAGGCAGCACCCGAAAACACGTACTCTCCAGTCCACGGAAAAACCTTTCTCCACTGAACCGGTCCCTGGTGCCCAAAAGGTTGGGGGCCACTGTCTTAAATTAAAATTATTAAAACTGGAATGAACCCCAGTACATTTCATAGGCCTTTCTTTGAAGTAATGATGCATTGTATTGTATTACTTGTAGCTTCCAAGAACAGGGTAATGTTCTTGAAAACATTTCATCTATATTTTATAGACAATTGAACTGCTACTTCAAAATGAAATAACCATTATTAACATATATTAGAAATGCATAATTTTAGATCAATTGCATCAGTGCCGGGCGAATGTAATTGTTACCAGGAAAGGTAGTAAAAGATTTATAAAACCTTGATATTGTTCTACATGTCTAGTTCTTGCAAGGTAACCCGAATGGGCTAAATTTCATTTTAATTCCTCAACATGCTCCTAAAATGTGTGATTTATTATAGGAGGGCCCAATCATGCAGTCATTTTTACTGTCTAGACCAGGGGTAGGCAACCTTGGCTCTTTTATGACTCATGGACTTCAACTCCCAGAATTCCTGAGCCAGCCATGCTGAGGGGAAAGGGAGAGGTTTCCAAGCTGAGCCAAGCCGGCTCAGGAATTCTGGGAGTTGAAGTTCACGAGTCATGAAAGAGCCGAGGTTGCCTACCCCTGGCCTAGACCACTAACGTGGGAAACAGAGGACAAAAATGGACAAACCACAGGACTAAGCGATAAGCTTTCACTGACCTCACTCTGCCAGATGGCTTAACTCAGAGTCTGGATCCTCCTAAAAACATCTCATCAGCAGCTTCTGGGACTCACCGGCACTCTGGTTGCTTCTGCCGATGCTGAACTTTACACAACCTGTGATCACCTCTCTGACTTTTATTTGGAGTGTGTCATTGTGGCCTTCCTTTTATTATCTTCCCCTTTTCACAAAGCAGCTCGTTTTTGTATCTTGCATATGCCAGCACTATTTGAAAAGAAACATTCAACTAAGCTGTTCCTTGTTTTCTGTGTTTCTCACTTTGGACAAAAAAAAAATCTGGAGTCTTTTCCTTTTTATACACTTTTTGTAGAGCTGGGCAACACGGAAGGCTCCTTGGAGACAGACCTGGGCCCTCCTAACCCAGCTGAAAAGACTGGCTGCAGTCGAAAAATACCTTGGGAGAGCCTAACCTTAATTCCTATCGGAGAAAACCCTGGCCCTTTCCATTAACAGAAGATTTTTAAACATCCCAGTTTTGCAGAAAGGGCCTCAGTCCCATTTCTTTCAGCAAGGCTACCCTGAAAGCTGGATTGGCCAATTGTGGGAAACGGCCAGTGCTAGTTGCAGTCTACCCCCAAAAGTAGCGTTGTTATCTCTGCTGAAAGCTGGCCTTTGAAGGAAGCATCTTACTGTTATTGGTGCTGCCGCCATTGAAGGGTCCAGCCGAGTTGTTGCTGTCCTTTTCCTTGTCTTGATTCTCAAAGTCCATGTTCAGGGACCTGCGGAGAAGGAGCACATGCAAAATATCTGCTTTACATCTGGAAGGGCCATGACTTTGGCGTCCTTAAATGGAATATCAGTGCAATAATCAAAACATGTTTATTTTTATTTTTGGTAGAATTTTCCAAGCACCTTGCACAAATAGTAAATGTATTAACAAAAATCAATTATGCAGAAAATTATGAAATTCTAGCAATGTAAATGCTAGCAATCACGGAATCAGATTTAGTAGCATAATTCATCAAAACCTTCTTATGCACAAGAGTTATTTTTGTTTTTATTGAAGATCTGCATCCTTCCAAAGACATTTTTTCTAGGTTTGCTATATAGAAAGGGGAGCAAAACAATGAACTAAAAATTGGAGTTTACTCTTACTCCTGTTTAAGGCTCTGTTCAAACACCCAGTGTGTATTGGTGTAAATGATTCTCTAACTTAGAGTACGCTTACTCTAATAAAGATATTAGACAGGGTAGGGTTCTAGACCTATGACAACATCCCATGATGCTCTAGACACTCAAATGTCAAAGATGCATGATAAATGTATTAATATACTCTTATATGCTGACAGTACGGTTCTGATGGCAGATTCCCAAGTAGTCCTGAGAAGAATGCTGCAAAAGCTAAAAAACCTACCATGTGCTCTTTAAACATCACTAAAACAAAATCTAAAAGTGGTGGTATTCAGCAAAAATAAAAGTGTGACATATAACTGGCTGCTGGATGAGAAACATCTTGGATAAGTAGATTCTTTCACCTATTGAGGAATAGTCTTTACCCAATACAGATAAGGCACCTTTGGGACAACCATGTCCTCGAATGATTGAGAATCTCCATAGATAATTTTTTTGCTACCTGTTGTCAGCCCTCACTGAGCTTTTTTAAAAAATGATTTATTTGCCCATGCCTCTGTGTTGGGTAAATGACTGCAAAAACTATAAATCCTCCACTCTGTCCGAGTGAAAAGTCGTGTAACTTTGAACGAGCGTTAAGTGAACACTCGTAACTCGGGGATTACCTGTACTAAACTTATTTTACAGCATGGGTTTTCCATCCAATGCTATCTCAACTGCCTCCCATGCAGAGTCCTAGTTATCAGTTTCTAAACAGACATGAAGTTATTGGCAAAAAACCTGATCTTTAAATTGGTTGGCTAAAAACAAAACCACTTTCCAAACCAAAAAACACCAGTCAATAAGTTTGACACAATACCTAAGAAGAGCAAGATTTGAGTGGTTGGATTCCATGGCCAAATACGAGCATTTCCGTTACTTGTGATATCATGAGAAGATCTGTATATGTGTTGCCCCACATTTATTTGATTATCAACTGTGTGCCTTTTTAGGCTTAGATATTTATAATTCCTACTTGAAAGAACGGCCCATTGGGGCCTGAATTGTAGACAGTCCTATTTCCTCCTGGGCTAATGTATACATCGTGAGCAGATCTGCTAAGTTTACAGACAAGGCAGTTCAGCTAAGAACTCTTATCAGATGGTGTTAATATTTTACTCATACGCTGCCCGGAGGCCTCTGTGAGGGAGATGGGCGGTTTCTAAATGTGATAAATAAAATTAAAAT